CTCCACACAGGACTTTACGCTGCATTCTGTGCCCTGTGCCGATTTTCCATGATTTTCCAACATGGATGCAACGTGGGACATTGAGTCCTCAGAAGGTCTGTCTAGCCTGCTCAGCCGCGTTCAAGTACCAGAGCCCCAGCAAATTGTTGACAAACAGTCGCGTGCCCTTTGGGACATCATGCAAACCTGGATATGGGCAAAGTCATCATGCGCTCCAAAGACTCAGACCCTGCGCCCGCCACGCCAGCAAGCGCATCGATCCCCGCAACCAATGTCTGGGCAAAGTGTGCGCCGCCCCGCTTGGATGCCGACGCAGTGCAACGCCTGCAAGCAACATTCAGAAGCAACTTGCCGGGCGAGCGCCTGGGCAACGACTGCGTCCCCAGCATCCGCCTTTTGTCATTGGTGCACTTGCTCGAGCGCAGTCAACCGGGTTCCATGGCAATATCGCATGAGTCATCGCCAATACCAAGACATCATTGAGGCACGCGCCTCCCGCGCTCTGCGCGTGCGCAGCAAATCTTCCGCAACGCGATTGCCCTGTGTGGAGGCGCTCGCCGGGGAAGCCTTTGACAAACAAGTCCTAGACATATGCGCGCAATCCCTCGCATCCGACTTAGGCCTTCGCACAGTTGACACACATGAGCTCTTGCAAGCAGATCGAAAGCTGTGGAATTAGCAAGCTTGCGTGCTGACTGCTGGTCGCTCGATGAGGCCTTGCGCACAATGATTTCAATCCGAGCAGATATCCATGCACTGAGAGGCCTCCCCATATCGACTTTGGTGGTGCAGGGTTCGTGGTCTGCGATCAGCAAGGAGCCCCCTACGGGGATCGAGCCCGTGACCATACGCTTACGGAGCGCATGCTCTACCAACTGAGCTAAAGAGGCTGGTGACCTATGCTGGAAGATGATCCACAAGGAGCCGATAAAAGATTTAGAGAAGGTTGTCCATCCGGCGTGGGGCCTAGGAAGGACGGCTCCCATATAGTGCGCAGCGAAGGCACACCCACAGGCAAAGGCAAGGCGAAAGGTGCAGGAAAAGGCGGAGGAAAAAAGGGCGGCAAAGTCCAGACCCGCCTCAAGGACGACAAGCAAGTTTCCACACTCACCGAAGCCTTGCGTAATCTGCAACCTGAACACGGAAACAAGACACTTTGCCTCCGCTACAATCGCGCCAACTGCACAGATAGAAATTGCAAGTTCACTCACTTGTGCGCCGTCAGGCTTCCCGCAACGGCCAGGCATGCGGACAACGCCGTGCGGCCACACAGCATCGCCTCCTCTCGAACCATGTTGCAGACAAGCAAGAATCACAGGCCGCTATGCCACCCCATAGCACTTGACAGCAAGCTCTGCCTGTGACCCTAATCCCCAACCCGTGCTGCGTAACCTTAACCCTGATAGCGCTCAAGGTCAAAGCTCCACCAGCTCTTGCTCCACGCAATCCTCAGATGCAATGCCAGAGCCAGCCGCCCCTTCGCAATCCAAGCCTACTCCCAAGCTCTTTCTGGACCTGTTTTCAGGCATCAATGTCCCACGAAGGCTATGCTCGAGTTGCAAGCCGATTGCTGTCAGCCTTACGACCTGAATGCAGACAGCACCTGCGACATCTTGAATGACAATCAATACCGTCTACTGCCCCCCGCCTTGCAAGCAGCGGCATCTCAGGAGTCCTATGGTCCGCCCCTCCATGCAAAGAATTTACGCGTCTCAAGCTTTCGAAGTCAGGGCCAAAGGCGCTCCGCACACCAGAACACATGGACGGAGTTCCAGACAATACTCCGGATGAGCAAGCGCGAGTTGATGCTAGCCCAGAAATTCACAGACGGTCCAGGCAAGTCATTCGCACCGCCAGGGAATCAGGCAGCCAAGCAGGTTTGCAGCAACCCCCTTCGTCCATGGCATCCATGTGACAAAAGTAACATTAGCTTGCTTTCTGCTGTGTTTAGGGCCAGGCGTAGTTTGAAACACTTGAACGTTGCATGTTTGTTTTTGGGTCATGCGTTTTTTAGTGGTTACTAATCTACGCTTGCAAACATGTTGTGTTTCATGAGCGTGGCTCCCAGGAACACGAGTGCACTTTCAAAGCACCCGCCCTCCACTCCCTTTTTGGTAGCTCCAGCGTTGCGTCGTATCGCATTGTAAATCAGTGCTCCACCAAGTGAGGTGCCTTCAAATTTCACGTGGGATCTATGAAGTGGCGCCAACATCCAAAAATCCGGGATTTCGGTGTTGGACTTAGTGAAGTTTAGCAGCAGCAGCAGCAGCAGCAGGAGGGTTAACAGACTAGCTTTTCAGTCAGGCGGGTAGTCTGTTGACCGCAGTCCTTTCACCATGGTTCCAGCTGTTCTTTTGGAAAGAGGCGGACAGGCGAAGTCTGTTAACAATTCTGTTTGGTTACAGATCCAGAATGCAGGAACTGAATCCGTGATTTTGGCTTTGCTTATGATTGCACTCAATAAAGGATTTGTAAGGCACCCCAAGAATCCACAAATCCGAGATTTTCATATAGGTGTTATTTGAAATGGGTACACATTCATGGGATCTATGAAGTAGCCCCAGAATCTGGATATCCGAGATTTTGGGACTGATTTTGATCAGAAGCTCGAGAATCCAAATTTTGGTCGTGGTTTTGATTGCTAGTTTGTTAACGCTGCTGTTGTTGATGTGTTTTCCCGCCTTCGGCAGCACTCAGGCAGTAAGAGCGGAAATTTTCTTGCAGCCAAGACACGTCGAAAAACGCGGGCACAGCAGAAACGTAAAGTAACGTACTGTTCGTCATGCGAATGTTGCGGTGCCATGTCCTGGTACTGAAAGCATCTCGTGTGGATACATTGTAAGTCTTCTTCCCCGGGGTTACGACTTACCCCCGCGAACCCAGCAACCCTGCAAGCAGCTATTATGAGAGCCACATTCTTCGCGATGATGAGGATGATGATGATGATGAACATGGGCTCATGGCTGTGACGACGCGAGAGAGAGAGAGAGAGACATTTTGGTTCAAGTCTCCGCCACACTTCGTCCCCTTTGGGGGGGAGTGGCTGGGCGCCGGCCTGTCTTTCCCCTTTGTGGGCTGGGGGAGAGCAGGTGGACGAGCGTCTCAGCGGGGGGGCTTGAGTCGCATATCCGCGGCATTTTTGATCAGATCCCGGTCAGAGGGAAGCCCCTCCGAGCAGGTTAAGTCAACAAGGGGAGACTATAGAGGACAGGGAAAGCATCATTACCAAGTCCGAAGATTGGGTCGCACAAGTAGTTGAGGAAAATAAGCCCCCTGCCGGAGAACCTTGACGCGAGGGACAGGAAACTTGGATAGAATTTGACATTGCGAGTTAGTACGGTGCACCTCTAGCTCACTTGTAAGGCCCATCTGAGTTTTGTGGGGGTTGGACACTTGAATTGGGAGAAATAGGTATCAGCCATGGCCCCTCGCCGCACACCTCATTTTGAGGGAGCCGGACAGGATGGGAGCGGCAAAAGCGGTACAGAACAAGGTGCAGTGACAACGGGAAAAGAAGATGCAGCGAACGAAGCCGTGGAGAAGAAGCTCGACAACAAGGCCAAGGCAAGCATGGCATACGAAGACGCCGCAGAAAAGTTGCAAGAAGTCAGGATGGCCAGATGGTAAAATCTGCTGGATCTGGTGACACAAAATGGGAGATGAAGCAGAAAAGTGGTTACGGAGAATGGTGAACAGGTAGAGGTTAGCAACTCTGGACAGGGAACAACGCACATACCGAGAAAAGAGATAGGAACACCGAGCAGTACTGATACAGAGTGAAGATGGGAAGGAATTCAGCATGCCGCTGGGAACCTGACAGCACAAGCCTGAAGGGAACTCAGCTACCGTGACAACCTACCGAGACACTGCCAATTCGTGAACCTGCAACAGGGAAAGGGAATAGGGGTCTTGGACGTTGAGTAGGGGTTGAGGGCTAGAGGAGTCCCTGATGTGGGGTACGGGGAATTACGTGCCGAAGACGGCAAAAGAACGCACAACTTGCTGCACGGAAAGCAAGTACGCGCAAATTAAGGGAACAACGTTTTCAGGTACATATCACTGGTGTGGTACTGAAAAAGTGTGGGTTTACCTGTTTGTTTCAACATGAGAGCACCATGCAAAAGTTTCACACAATTTCGAAAATTCCCAGAATCAGGGAAACAACATGCGAACCAGTGCCGGGGGGAACAGGGAATCGGATATGGTTGAAGGAGGGTTGAGTCCATTTTCAGCAGCAGGCATTGGAAGCATGCCTCACACCATTCGAAATGCCCGAGGAACAAAGGGGAAGTAAACATCATGATGTCATTAGTCTTCGCTTTGGTTTAATGAGCGGACCCGCGGTGCTGCCAAGAGTGCAGTAACATGGGCAAGAGGAAGTGTTCCCGGGAAGCTCTGAGGGATAAACAAGGATGGGAATCGCACCTTCCCGAAGATGCAAACTGAGTGTGATTGTTACGTGTGATTGGGCCATAGTCAGATGGGAAGGTGACACCCACACTCTGAAGTTTCACAACCCAGTGGAGCAGGGAGGTTCGTCACATGGAAATGGAATTTGGGAATTATGTAGTGGAGAAGACTTTAAGGGGGTCCTAGTTCCGTTTTCAGCGACCACGTACTCCGGGCCTCCTGGGCAGACCGAACGCTGGATTGCTTGCGGGCTTGGGGTTCGCCCCAGCGAGGCCTCAGGGTCTCGCAGAGCCTATAGAAGAAGAAGAAG